GCTATCATAAAATACCAGCATAAAATAGTATCTTAATGCTACTTTGTTTCGTATAGTGAGCGTATTGAACCGAATACCCTATTTACCGGAAACGAGACATCTCATCTTAGTCCTCAGAGGTGACACCGCCACGGAATTTGGATTCTTAATTGAGGATAGATAGGTCTATGGGCCACAGTATCCACTTACCTTCTGATTGACTTTGACGTTTTTCACTCTTATTTTATTTAAAAAAATGGTGTAATGGAAGTAGAATTTTACCGAAACTTGATTCAGTCAACGTGTTATTAGTATTCGCCTTAATATAAGAAATCATTGTGGTAATGGAATTCCCCACGCTACCAAATGGCAAGTCATCACGTGAGTAACAAAATTGTTCACTTAAGTCAAAGTTCCCTTGTTTGGGTAAATCACTATTAGACAATTTGCGATAAAAATAAATATAGAATAATAAAGCAGTGGAATCACCAATATTTTATTATTCTAGGTTAACGGGTTTATTTTTATAATATTAGCAAACAGCACGTCCAACAAGCGTCATCTAATACTAAGTATTATTAAAATATCTATGAAAAGTCCAAAAAACTTCTTATAAAGAGAAGAAGAACATTAGACGGTACGATTCGGTTTCCAACTAGATATACTCCATCTGACTAAGAACCACGTATATCAGCCTCCAAACAGAGATGCCTGTACTTCTGAGTTTCGGTCTGAAGACCAGTATGTTAGTATAATAACTGTAGGGTATTCCATCTTAGTCAACAAAGTTGACAACGCATCTGTAGCTTTTCTATATTTATAGTAGGTGTACTGACTTTATTATAATTTGTCACAACAGTTCCATAAAAACAGAAGGAACGCTTTTCACGACAATATTATATATTTGTGTTTCTAATTTTCACAAACAGGCAAAATTAATAAGATAAATAATAATAATAATAATTTATTACACTCTCAGTTTGATAAATCACACTTATGTGTGATATATATCTATTTTAAATTACAAAAAAAAAACATTTTAAAGAAGTTAGCGTTGACGGCCATACTAGTATAAACTGTGAGGAAAATCATTACAAATAAAAATATTTATAAGTAAATTAAAACTAAACAAGTTAGTAAATTTACGCTTAGAACAAACTTGTATTCTAATAAACAACTGAGATAAAGGAAACCGTAGTATAATGGGAACGGCATACCTTTTCCCTTAACAAATCTGATTTTAGGGCGCAAAGTGTACCGTAAACAGAGCCTGCCTACTTCACTGAACGGCTCTCAACGACTTCTTACTTGACAAGAATTGTCAGGACCCTCGCTATTTATACGTAATTCCGTGCGATATTAAAGTGGAGAAATATTTGAACAAATGGGGCAAAGTAAAAATGAGGGTTTAAAGGTTAATTTTTTAAAAAAATCATGAGACTTATTACATTTCTCAAAATAAATAATGCAAAATAATTCTTAGCGTTATAGCATGGTGCGGGTGACAGATTGACAGGTCACTAGAACGTAACTTACGCGCGTTTACATTACCAAAAAATATGCTATGAGAAAATAATACCGAATTCATCATCATCGTCATCATTACAGCCTTTCACAAGTCCACTGCTGAACATAGGCCTCCCCCAAGGAATGCCACAAAGCACGGTCCTGAGCCACTGCATCCATCGACTTCCTGCATGTCTTACCAGGTCGTCACTCTATCTAGTGGGGGTCGCCCTACACTTTTCCTACTGGTACGAGGCTGCCACTCGAGAACCTTTCTTCCCCATCGGTTGTCGGTTCTTCGAGCTATATGGCCAGCCCACTGCCACTTCAACTTACTAATCCTTCGGGCTATGTCGGCTACTCTGGTTCAACTGCGGATATCCTCATTTCTAAGTTTATCACGGACATACCTCAAAACCTGAAAACGAAATTGTACAACCAGTGCGTGTTGCCAGTGATGACTTACGGATCTGAGACGTGGTCCTTCACTGCTAGCCGTATGAGGAAGCTCAAGGTCTCTCAGCGAGCTATGTAGAGGGCTATGCTCGGGGTTTCTCTGCGTGATAAACACCGAATTACTTTGTATTAATTTTCTTTATTCTGTTATGACTTCTAAATTAACATTAACTTCAAAAATCTTACCTATAGTAGTTTTGTTACTAATAAAATTATATAAGTTTAATTTATTTCATTTGCGTGCGCATAAACGTACTAAGCGTACTAGCAGTAATATTTTTTTAATCAGTAGAGATGTGCCTTATAATCGGACTTTTGAAATTGTGAAGCGAATACAATCCCAAAAAATAAGTAAGATATTTCTATTTCATAGAAATATTGTCAAATTCCTGTATACTAAATTTAAGTAGCTTAGGATTCATGTACTACAAAAAACAAATAAATAAATAAAGTGGTAAACTTAAAAGAAAATTAATTATTTCATTTTATATATATTCCGCCAATTTGGTTGTTTTTGCTTAAATTATCTCTAAGACGAATGATTAAAACCCCCGCTTGGCTCGCCTTAACAATTTTTTTTGTTCATTTTGGCTATTTAAATAAACAAACTCAACAAATAGCAAAAATTAACTTTTTAAAACACAACAATAAAATCAATCATCGAAAATAAAAGCAACCCAAACTATACTGGAAATTACAAAATGGACTATAGTTCATACAATGTGTATAAACTATGTAGCATCCTTCGCTATATTTATATAATCATACATACAACGAAGGAAGCTACCATTCGTACCTTGAAAATCTGCACGTTTAGTCAACGCCGTACTGAAAATCACCGGTGCTGGCAGGCATTTTATGTGTTTTTTTTAAATATAGTATAAAGGTGACAAACGAGCACACAGTCCATCTGATGGTAAGTGTTTGCTGCGGCCCATAGACATCTACATCAATCCTCTATTATAAATCAAAATGTAGATGCGTTGTCACTCGTGAGGACTAAGATGGAATGCCTCATTTCCAGTAAAATGGGCCTCCGGCCACCTGCACTCACCAAGCGAAACGCAGAGGTAAACCTCTACTTCACGCTGGTTTTCTGTGAGGTCGTGGTACCACCCCGGTTCGAGCCGGCCCATCCGTGCGACAGCAAAAGCTGTCGCGTGGCTCTACCACTATTGTATTATTGTTAAGATAAATGCTGCAAGTAACATAAAACAGAAGATGATATTTTATTTCAAATTATTACATAGTACTATAATGTTATAATTTGTATTAAACTGCAACTAAAATTTACATTCATTGTTATTTATTTATAAAGATTTTTTTATCGATAGCTAATCGATAAGTTTTGCTTTGATTTGTGTATCGTTAATCGCCTTTTTTAAAATCGATTTAACATTGTTACATCTCTAGACACGTTGAACTGTAAGCTGTCACCTGCACCATGCCTAACGCAAAAACTATACATGTCGGAATGGAATGTAAGGGAATGGAATGAAAACGGAACGTAAGTGGGTGAGAAGGAGGACGTAAGGTGCGAGAGGGACGGGGAGAACGTGTGGGAGTTTTTTGAAAGGAGGAAGGGAGCGTACGTGACTTAAGTGCATTAAACAAACTATTCATTATTCTCGATTTTTATTAAGAGGCCTTCCAAAATCTCACATAATTTTGGTGTCAGAACTGGGATTGCCTCAAAATAATCGAGTTTCAAGTACGATGGCACGTGGTCACGGCGCGCAGCGGTACCGGCACAAGGCGGCGACGGTGCAGCACATTAATATAAGAAGGTGGTTCTCCGATGGGAGAAAATAACGACGTTAACGAAGTAAGGAAGACTACAGCTCAAGACGCGCTGCAAGAAAAGGCTGTAAAAGATTCACAAGACGTAAAAATGGCGGCGGAAGGCTTTTCAAGCATGGTGGACAGCATCGCGAAGTTTAGCGGTGATGACAAGATTTATTCGTCAACAAAGTGGGCTCAGGACATCGAAGACAATAAGGAGGTTTTTAGCTGGACAAATCAGCAAACATTAATAGTAGCGAGAAGATCCTTGACAGGCACGGCTGAACTGTGGCTACGATCAGAAAAAGTTTTTAAGACGTTCGAAGAGCTTAAAACAGCACTGCAGAAAGAATTCCCTGACTCACTTAACGCAAAAGAGATGCACGAGTTAATGGCGTCGCGCAAGAAACAGCGGGACGAAACTTGTTATCAGTATACGCTGACTATGAAGGAACTGGGCAAAAGGGCTAAATTCCCAGACTACGTCTCGATCCAGTACATCGTGGACGGCATCGTAGATCAAGAAGTAAACAAGATGATGTTGTATGGAATTACATCATATTCAGTGTTTAAAGAAAAACTCGTTTGTTATGAAAAATGAAGACGAAGATCGTTCCTGAAAAACAAAGAAAGTCATCCATATCATATCCATCGACTTCATCGTCGGGTTCAATAAGTCGGCAGCAACCTAATAATAATACCTAAAGACTGTATGCCCTATAAAGTGATTTTAGGTCAGGAATTTCTAAAAAATGTTGTCATGGTTATGCGCGAGGCTTCCGTCTTCTTGTTACCTGAAGGTGAGGAATGGTTGACGAGAGTGAATTGTTGTGTGAGTGAGGTTGATATTGCAGGTCCTATCCACGACGATGGCATTAAGGCAGAGGTGGAGCAGCTCGTGACGCAGTATAACCCAGTCCAGACGAGAGGCGCCTATCGAACTCAAGATTATACTTAAAGATGACATCCCAGTGGCGCAGCGCCCAAGAAGACTTGCCCTGATGGAACAGAAGATAGTGGAGGATCAGGTTCTGGATCAGACGAGTTGTTACGCAAAGGAATTGTTCAGGTGAGTTTCTCTAAATATACTAGCCCTGTAGTCCTTGTAAAGAAAAAAAGAAGGTTCAACTAGAATATGCATTGACTATAGGCAGTTGAATAGGAAGATGGATAAGAATGAATTTCCCTTACCATTGATCGAGGACCTAATTGATAAGTTGAAAGATGCTAAGGTGTTCAGTGTCCTAGATCTTTAAAATGGTTTCTTCCATTTAAGAATGAGCAAGGAGTCCATACCCTTCACATCGTTTGTCACGCAACATGGGCAGTGGGAATTTCTAAGAGCACCATTTGGTCTCTCCGTATCGCCGAAGTACTTCATGAGGTTCATCACCATCATATTTAGAGACTTGATACAAGAAGGTGTTATGATGATATTCATAGACGATATTGTTATTCCAGCGCAGACGAAGGAAGATGCTGTACAGAGATTAAGACGAGTGCTGGAGGTGGCTGCTGAGTACGGGCTTGAAATCAACTGGAAGAAGGCGAGGCTGATACACCACGAGATTGAATACTTGGGACATCTGGTCAAAGACGGGCAGGTACAACCCAGTCCGGATAAGATTAAAGCAGTCGCACAATACCCCGAGCCTGTGAATGTCAAACAGATCCAAAGTTTTGTCGGGCTGACTTCCTGTTTTAGAAAGTACATAAGAGGCTATGCACAGATAGCGAGGCCGCCAACAGATTTGATGAGGAAAGATGTGAAGTTTGTTTTTGGGCCTGAAGAGCGACAAGCGTTCAACATTTTGAAGCATAAGCTAACGAGTGAACCAGTACTGATGATTTTTGACCAGAAGCTGCATACAGAACTTCATTCAGATGCATCTAGCATAGCTCTAGCCGCTATTCTCATGCAGAAGAATGAAGAAGGAGAAATTCACCCTGTATATTACAGGAGCAGACGGACGAATGACATTGAAAGGTGTTATTCAAGTTATGAGCTTGAGGCACTCGCAGTAATAGAAGGTGTGAAAAAGTTTCACCACTACCTCTTTGGCAGGTACTTTAAGATTGTCACAAACTGTGAGGCATTGGAGCTTACCTTGAAGAAGAAGGAGCTAACACCAAAGGTGGGCAGGTGAATATTACTTCTCAGCGAGTATGACTATGATGTCGAACATCGAGCGGGATGCAGGATGCCACACGCAGATGCGCTCAACAGAATCCCATATGCAGCTGCAGTGGTAACATTGTACGAGAAGATCAGCCAGGCGCAAGAAAGAGATGAAGACCTCAAGGCTATAAAACAGCTGATTTTGACAGATGGCCAGTATAATGACTATTATGTGGAACAAGGAGTGCTTTACAAAGGTGATCAGGTACATCACGGCTGCAGGAACGGTGGTCTGGCAGGTGATGGAGCTCACGGAGGGCTTTTTATGGCCCGTGTGCCTATTGGTTGCCTAACCGGTGTGACGTACATTCACTGTGGCTAGATTTGGTCGTATTCTGTATGGCGTTTACACGCATTGACAAACGCGACTTCGGTCGATGTTTGTGCTTACGCACTATCAAGGGGCCAAGTCCTCTTTTACTGGTACGCCAGTTGTTTTGCTGTGGACTACGGTCCAGTTCCCAATTTAAAGTACCCTTCGGAGAGAGCGCAATAAAATGGTTGGCGCTCACCGCGCACGGCGTGTGTGGAGCCGTGTGCCTCCTCTTTTACTCCTAGCGAAGAGTTATAAAGATAGGGTCCCACGGCCTGCCAGGCGACAGACCGCGTCAGGCGTTGCCCCGTCTCAATGGGCCTGTCGCGGCCCGTACCGAGCATTCCCACGGCGTGTGCCGGCTTGGTGCGGCATGTCGACTGACATTCCAATATGTTAAGTGATACGGAGCGCATGGCTGCGTGTGCAGCCGCTGTGTGTGTGTATACAACTGGTGGTTCCCAAGATAATGGAAAAATAAGTAATCAAGGAAGTACATAGCAATGGTCACTTTGCTATAAAGAAAATGAAAGAAGCAATAAGCAAATATTATTTTATAAAGAATACGGACAGAAAAATCGAAGAAGTGATTACCAGTTGCATACCGTGTCTGCTAGCAACCCGGAAAGAAGGCAAACAGGAGGGATACTTAAACCCTATTGGAAAAGAAGGGACTCCGCTGCATACTTTGCATCTGGACCACATCGGACCGCTAACTGAGACACGAAAGATGTACAATCACATATAGTAGTCGACGGATTTACTAAATTTGTGTGGCTGTACCCCACAAAACCAACGACTAGTGTAGAAGTAATAAGTAAGCTACAGTTGCACCAAGAGACGTTTGGAAACCCTGTAGGTATCATAACAGACAGAGGCACAGCTTTTACCAGAGGAGCATTTAAGAAGTACTGCGAAGAGGAAGGTATACAGCATGTCACCATTACAACCGGCATACCAAGAGGAAACGGCCAAGTAGAGCGGGTTCATCGAATAATGATACCCATGCTAACGAAGCTGTGCATCGAAGACCAGTCACTATGGTATAAACATGTTGGACGTGTGCAAAGAGCAATCAACAGTACTTACCAGCGAAAGCATAAACACCACACCGTTCCAACTGCTCACTGGAACCAAGATGAATTGCAAGGAGGACGTAGAGATATTAAACTTGCTACTCCAGGAAACTATAGCGCAATACAGTGAAAGCAGAGAAAGTTTAAGGCAGAAGGCCAGAGACCAAATTCAAAAGATACAGGAAGAAAATAGAAATACCTACAATAAGAAGAGGAAGCAGAGCTCTCAGTATGAGGTGGGAGATCTCGTCGCAATTAAAAGGACACAGTTCGGGCCAGGGCTCAAGCTGAAAGCGAAATTCTTCGGACCCTATAAGGTAGTCAAGGTGAAACGCAACGACCGATACGACGTTGTAAAGTTGTATCAAGGCACAGAGGGGCCGAACAGTACAACGACATCTGCAGATTTCATGAAGAGATGGCCCGAAGAAGATGATTGCGAGTAAAACAGGTATTGAGTAATAATATTTGTTCATAATTTTTTTTTCTGTTTGTTTCTAGGTGTGAAAGTTTGAGACTGAATTATTAATACTAGGTAAACTTGATACTTATTATTTTTTAAAGGTGGAAACCTCAGTGTAGTAGTACCAGATCTCATAAAGCTGTAATAATGTGATATGTTAAGGTTCAGATTATTATGTAATTTTTTTTATTGTCAAAGATAAACAGATCTCGCAGAGCACTATAGTGTTATATTAAGTCTAAGATGTATAATTTCTTTTTGTTGTGGTAAAGATGTAAATAAGTTTTCGTAACTTTCAGCAAGTGTACGAGCTTTTTATTTTATGCTGTTATGTCATATTATCTCATACTTGTATTGGATGTGTTTACTAAGTTGTAGAAATGCAAAGAGTCTATCTACATTGTTGACTAGTGTCAGTAATTGTTTAAATTTTTTTAAAGTGCCATGAAAGATGTAATGTTTACTTAGTCTGATGTATAACGCAGGATATGCATAGTTTAAGTGTTTACTCCAACAGAAAATGAACATGGCAATGGTTAAAGATTATTTTGTAATGTTAGGATGCTAGACACTAGAGATGTTAATGTATGATGTAAGATGAATGAATGATGAAAGAGGGAGAAGAGCATATCTGGGGCAGATATGAGATCCAGGAAGACCGAAATGTAGGAATAGAATGTAAGGGAATTGAGTGAAAACGGAACGTAAGTGGGTGACAAGGAGGGCATGAGGTGCGAGAGGGACGGGGAGAACGTGTGGGAGTTTTTTGAAAGGAGGAAGGGAGCATACGTAACTTAACTGCATTAATTAATTAAAAAAGGTGTTAAACGATAAAAATAAAACAAACTATTCGTTATTCTCGATTTTTATTAAGAGGCCTTCCAAAATCTCACATACATGAACGTCCAACTGCTCCAAATGTTCACCAAAATTAAAAAAAAATATTTATTAACAAAACCGACGACGGTGCATGCTAATTGATTGTATATGTTGAAACAGTGTTGTTTTAAAAAAAATTTTGACAAAAGAAAATTTAAATTATGTACGATAAAAATAAACGTTTTTAATTTCACTTCATCAAAATAATATTGCCACAGGCATTCTTACTGAAACTGAACTCAGTCAAACTGTTCTACTTAGGTTCGTAATAGCTTTTTTCGCGTAAAATCACTTGCAACAAATAAAAGTATTTCAAGACTAAGCCGTAGTGAGCAAGAAGTAGCAACTTAACAAACTATTATGTACATTCCATTTCGTCTTGTGCGCTTCGTGAGAAATGACTATGAGAAATGAAAGAAAAACCTTACAGATTCCGATAGGAGCCAGTATTACTATTTAATATAAGTACATAAGATAAAAAATACCCATAACTTTAACGGACAACAGTGTCAAAAGAACGATATATTCGGTACTGCACTACATAATTGATATAAGTATATACAATATTAAAAACTATAATAATAATAAAAAAAGAACTAAAACTAGAAACTTAATTATCATATAGTCCTACTCCCCGCGGTATCGTACCAATAACGCTGGCTGCGTTTCCCCTTTGGCTATACTTAGCCTTTGAGCGAAAAAAGAACCAGCCCTCTTATCACCAGCAGCAACGACCAGCCGCAAATGAAGTTCCTTTAGGAACTTCACCACACGTCGACCCCACGGACCGATAGTCTCTACAGCAAATGGCACAAATATGTAGACATCTCTCAGAAACTCATATTTGCGCCACTTACTCAGTTCAGCTGCCTCTGAAGCCGCCCCGGCTCTAAACGAGGTACTCCTGAGATGAGAGGCCGCCAGAGTGTCTACGCAAGTAGCACTTCACACTAGGGCTTTACCTCTCTCCCGGGGGGCCAATTTCATAACGTCGGGTCTCCTGCTATCGTCTCTAAATATTCCACAAGGCTCTAAAACCGAGAGAACATTTAAAGAGACAAGATCCCTTCGGATGACATCGTTCAAAGAACTGTGTCGTGAAAACCTACCAGCGTTTTTCTTACATGAAAGTCCGTGGAGCCTAAATTGGCGACGCTGCTACCACAGAGGCACTGATGGGGTTGACAAAGGGCTGCTCCTAGTCGGATTCCTACGGTGATGCGCAAGCTTACCCCATCAAGTAATGTGCCGAGATTACTTGATAGTAAAGCGTGTAATAAGTGAGTAGATTCCTAAGTCGAAACAGCTAGAGAGCGAGCCTTATCTTGGTCACTATAGAAATTATGAAACAAGTTTTTTTGCACGCCCTTTATAGCAACGGAATATCCCACTGTTTTTGTTGATTAACTTCCAGTAGAACGTTTTCACCGAGACAGAGCGTTTACCATGTCTGCCCTGCCTCCGTAGCAAAGCATAGTTCTGCTTTATTATTTAAAATTATGTTACATAAGTCACTGACACTATGCATGGAAGCAAGGAAAGCAGGCAATGCAACGCCAGAAAGATTTCTCTTACTAATGCCACGAAATTTTATAGGTAAAGTAGCTTGAGTCCAGGATGTTGTATCTAAAGTTAAATTTAGAATTTTTTTAAAGCTACTTTAAGATAATTATCAATATCTTTTAAAATATCCGAACATTTCCAGACTCGACTCGAGCGAAGTAAGTATGTAAATCTAGGTACAAGGAGACAATATTTTAAAATAGTTGAGCTATGTGGGGGTTTAATTTATACAATTTATCAACGTAGTTTAAAAACTGATCAAATTTTGTTTTTAAAATAGGTTTAATACTATGGAAAAACAACGGAGCACTTAAAAGGTATTGTGATTTCGTAGTGACTGATTTTATTCCTGGAGAAACATGATTGAAATTTTAAATTAAAGTGTCTCCATGAGAAGTAGATAAATTATTGGAAAAAAATATTTCACATTTATTGCTATTTGGTTCAAGACCAATATTTTTAAAATTTCGAAAAATATGAGTAAGATCACTGAGGACGTCATCTGCTCTACCTCCCACCCAGTGTACCGTCGTTCAGGTACCAGACATTCAGTTTGGATTTCAAATTTGAAATAATGGGTTGAATTCCCAAACTCAAAAGTGCTGGACCACTAGTCACCCTGCTGAACACCGACAGCAGAATCGATAACATGGTTTTCGTAAAACAAGTTAGTA